AGTGGGTGATGAAAACGTGTTACAGAACAGGCGCAGGTAATACAAGGACGCTTTTTACACGGAGCGCACGATTTACGGTGACTGCGGGCGGCGCCGTGTCGCATATTGATTCTCGACTGGCGACACCTCGGCGCCAGCTGGCTATTGTGAATATTTCTCAAATAATCCAGGTGTACCAGCACAAAGTGAGCCCCGCATGGGACACTCAAAGGTAACATTATGTTTCTCGTTGCGTTCAATGTGTACTCTCGTATTGGCTCAAAAGATTTGAGTCACTGGTGATTATTACCCTACAAATACATTACTCGCAGTCTGTTTTTTTTTTCTTCGTAAAAACTAAAATGAAAGGCGAGACTATTTTGGCTTTGTAATTTATCACAAAGAAATGCTTGTTTAGAAAGGGCAGAGAGGGAAGAAATTAAGAGCGAAATATATTTCTGGTAAAATTCATGAGGAAGGGAATAATCATTACCGTTTATTACCTGAGAAACTACTAATAGATACAATTTAGAAGTGCATGTTTTTTCCCTTTCATTTCTTTCTATTACCAGGGGAACAACATTTTACATTCTTATTCAACTCCCATTCTTTATGGGAGTGTGATTCTGAATGACATTGTCTAGCTTTATCTATAAATCTTCTTTAATGGCCTAATCTTTCAAGGTGCTCTATAAATTTGTAATGTGTAATTAGAGCACCAACTCAGATATGGGCCTACATCCTGGATCTTTCATTCAAATCAGTATTGTATAGTCTGCAATGTTTTTATCTTTTAGTACGTTTACCACCTCAATTTAAGGGGTAATCAATGGTGAAGTTTGAAATCGTGTTCTCCTATTTAATCTATACCCTGTCCAAAGACAAAGATCCGGCATATTCTGATGACAAGGTGCAACGTTTTAGTCGTGAAGAATGAACAATGCTCAGTCAGTAACTCTCTATCAAGGATGTGTTACAGGAACATATTCTGTATTATGAAGATAATGCATGTTTCGGCTCTTAAACAACGAAAAAAAAAGATTCCACAGGTTATTCCCCTAAAAATTTCTTTGTCGGGGATTGTAAACAGTTTAAACTTACAACATACACAGTTTAAACAGCTGAAACCACCTCCAGTTAAAATTCTACCAAGAGCAGTTTAGAGGATCACCTTAAAAATACCAAGACAAAGTATATACAAAGAAATGATCTCCGTGAAGCTCTTTGTTCGGCGATCACTCTTGGCCATCGTGATAATAATTTTGTAAAACGCCCTTTGCGTGGTATTTTCATGGGGGTGTTTGTTCCCTTGTCCTATTCATTCAACACTAATCCCTCTGTCCATGATCAGACACCTGCCACTCAGTGGGGTCAATTAAAATCTTGATTACCTCCTTGAAATCATTAGTCTCTAATCTCATACTAATCCCCAATATTGGGGAACAATAATTGGTACAGACTCAACAGTGAAGTACATGCATTTACCTTGAAAAGAATGTTCCGGGATGGGGTATATTCGTTAGACAATCGGAGATACAGGAACAGCACAGATTGTATAAAACAAAGCCACTTTGGGTTTGCGTCACCTGTCCTTGTACACAAAACAACCTAATTTCATGAAAAGAACAGGATCTCAATTTCGACATGATTATAGAAACTTTCCCTACACTCTATCAGTATAAAAAAAGAGGACATACCTGAAATGACAAAGGTCCATTATTATTACCTTGAAATGTAAAAGAAACAGTGAGCGTACGGAGCTCTTAAATAAGTTAAAATCACCTATGGAATGTGATGACAAACAAAAGTGATTGGGGTGTGACTACCTGCTAATCATTTATCGTGCATGGTGAACTTTGAAAGGTATTGTGGTGTTTATCATTGAGTGCCATCGTTGCTCGACGTCGAAAGTATTATTTTTGTACTGTAATTGTAAAAAAAAAGTCTCAACCCAAGTTCAATCTAAGAAACCAATAACAAATCCCATGCGTGGAATTACCTTGCGAACGCTACGAGAAACCAAAGCTAAATATTCGGGCTCAAACGAGGATCCATGTGTTGAAACTAACACATCCTCTGGGAATGCGTCGCGGGCTTCCGTCGTTTATCTAGCGGTGGGAGGGGCATGTTGTCATGGTGACGTGGCGCCACTCGGTCGGGGGATCTCCACCGATAGGCAATCATGTTTGGTTATCCTGTTTACAATGTACACAGCACCAACAGTAGTGACAGGAAAACTACAATTTCGCTAGACCTTATCTTCCCTTTTTTCTTTCCCCTGCACTCAATTGAAAAATGCGTGTAACAAAAGTCATTTGTAGGCTGGTATGTCTAAATTTCATTGTCGAATCCTACATTAGGAGCTTTGAATTTGAAAACAAATTACCTGTGTGTACGAGTGTTGGCGTGTCAAATGTAGAAAACGGCCTGAGAAATAAAAATGGGAAATTCGATTATGTGCAATATTAACTGTTACAAGAATGTCCTTACCATGCTAAAACTTACGCGAAAATACTCTTCATAATCAAGGACGAACATTTAAAGGGAGGCACTTTTATAAACATGCTAAGCGTTCTAAATAGCGTTTTTAATATTTATTTTTTAAAAGGTTATTGCTGTTTTGTCATAATGTCTAACTATGCGCTAATTAACTTTTCTATCGGACAAGTTAGTGAAAGCCTAAAGTGTGAAATGTTGAAGCAATATTAAATTGAAAGTTTTCTTTTTTTCACTTCATGAATTAGAGAGGGGAGAAATATACGATGACTGACATTGTCTGCCTTCGGAATTCTTTACGGCTGTCATCTCTGCTTGACTGGAGCTGACAATATTTCGTGAAGGATGGTTGATTAGAAAGAGAGAGATATTTTTTAATGGGAAACGAGGAGAAAGAAGGAAAAAAACAGAAATTGGATGGTTGATAATGTGAAGAAAAGAGCCAAGCCAATCACCTGCCTACAATGCTAGCATTGCTCACATGTGACGACTAATAAGCGCTGCCTTTGTGGAGGCCAGTCAGGTGTTTGAGCTTTATCAGGTTAATAATTCATGAGGCGTAGGGTAGCGATCTAGCAGACGACTGACTGAATGGGGCTCAGCTCGGCCACTCAGACACAGTGGCGCCGCCCTGCAAGGTGGGTCTTTTCTTCACTACCCCAGCCTGTATGCGCAGGTGCTTTGTGGCCCGCACCAGGCTGGAGCCAACGAATTTTCTTCTTATTGTTTCCGCGGCTGAAGGCATGACAAACAAGACTCCCTTTTTAACACTTTAGGGGTTGGCTAACAATATTTTTAAAAAGACATTGTCATAGAGAAGGGGAGAGGAGGGAAAATTACTATTGGGAACAATTACTTGATATGTGTATGTGGGTAACTAAAAAGCGAGGCAAGCCGAATGGCATTAGCATGTACATGCTCTCGCGAAATAATGCTGTGTTTTTCTTCCTATTTTTAATCTAATCTGGTAGTATACCTTTTGTTTGCAACCATTGTATTTCCGTAGTAGTACATCAATTGACTTTCCGCTACTAGACTTTTCCACTTGGTTGGTTATAAGCTGTTATGTTTCATCATCGCAACTAAAATCGTACAAACGAGTTTTTTTTCTTCTCAAGAGCTGATTGTCGATGTTAACACACAGCTTTTGATCTTGATCCTCTTTTCTCGACGATAAGACAACTCGACTGTTATAATAAGGTGTTTGAAGGAGATAGTGTCATCTTGCATGAATGACCTCATTCAAAATAGCTTCCTCGATCTCAAGAGGGGTGGGACACAGAGAAAGGAGTTGAGCATCTTGCGCTGATGACCGGGAGAAGTGATCACCTCCGCCTTTTAATAGTACCGCTGAATGGCTTTTGTCCCTCTCTTGTTCTCGAGGACAAAACCCCAGACTTCGTGTCTCTGCCCTCGTTTTGCGCTCCGCCAATCCTTCTCAATCTGTCCTCAAGTCACCGGCGCGACAACAACTTCACTCCGCTCTCTCTCCCTCTGCTCTGAGCTCTGCTCTGTATTTATCTTGTCTCCTGTCCAACAAGAGCCGCCCATTAGAGTAAGCTCACGACATTCATGTGGGTTTTTCTCTTCATCTTTTCTTTTGGATTTGAAGCTGTGGATTTTTACTTGAGGCTCCAAGGAAGTGTTACTTCGACTATATCTCTCTTCTTCGGAATATACCACCAATTGGAAGCAGTTGTTCTACCTTTAGTTCAACTTCTATATTTTTATCGTGCAGTGTTGAACAACTTAACACCTCACCAGCTCATCACAGTATTAGATTAATTAGGATTAACATTTCAAATGACTTGAGGAACATTATTCTTCAGAGTTCATCGACCGTTCCAGTTTTGAAATTCATTTTCAACAGCTCTATTCGCAGCTTATGCAGTGACCAGTGCTGACCTGGAGAGAAACATTATTATGTTATCAGTTTGACATTTACCTGTGCAATTACAGAAACATCGTCACATGTGATTGTGATTTTGGCTTCAAATGAGTGGAATTTTTTCTGAAACATTTCGTGTGCATGACTTTGGAGACGCTTGTCGGCACCCGTCAGTGGTATGGTGATGAAGTATCATTACCTCCAATACAGGCGGCGTTTGCATGCCTCAGGTACGGCAGCTTTCTATCTCTCTCTCTCTCTCTCCCTCTCTACTTCGCCGTGTCGGACTCGGACGCGCGACTAATCGAACGCCAATTCAGTCTTTTCTGAATTTTTAATTGAAACGTGGTCATTTAATTGCAGGATTTTGAGAATGATCCCCTATAATGTTTATGCTTTAACATTTTTTTGTTGTATTTTCTAGTGTAGGTCGAGGTTTGTGTGTTTATTTTATCTTATTTTCATTGAGGACTGTGCTGCCTAAAGGCTTAACTTTTCATTGATTCATTGGAAATGATTTATGATTTTACATGTAGAGTAAAGCATATATATTTATTAAGTCGAATGTTTTGACATGAAATGGATTATGTGTCAATTAGATCTTTAATCAGTGTTTTTGATATTTATATCTCCACAGTTGACATTGATGGAAACCCCAAAGGCATGACGCAAGCGATCCTGGCAGATGGTAATGACCCCATATCTCCCAGCCCGGAGAATGGTTACCATAGCAACAGCTCCACCATCGAGGACAGCGATGGAGATGACAAGGGAAGCTTCATGGGCGACGAAGAGGACGACGACGAGGTCGAGATGGACAAGAGTACGAGCGATGGAGACAAGGATGATGGGGTGGATGACTTAGAACCAGATAAAGAGTTCCACCGGAAGAATGGAATGCATCATCTCCATCCCCATCCCCCTCCTCACCCTCATCACCCTCATCAGTTCAGGAATGGAGAGATGGGAGGAGACGGTGGTGTCATCAACCTGGAGGATTACATGAACCGCAGCGACACTGCAATCATCTATCCTGAACCTGTAGAAGACATGGACGGAGTCAATGGCGATACAGATGACCCTGATACTCCTGGTAGGTTTCAAACCATATTTCCCCCCCTCTAAAATAAGGGAGTAGGGGATGAACTGATCTGGATCAGCCTTTTTGGGGGGTTTTCCAGACCAGTCAGCCCCCCTCCCTCAGACCATCATAGACCTTGGCAGTGAACTTTTTACTAAGTCGGACACATTATTTAGAGACAGAAATCAAAGCAACATCCTTATGTGAACGTGTTCAAAGTTATGATACATCTCAAAAAGAAAGTGAAACTAGATATCTCTTTTGGCTGTGTTCATGCAAACTTTATTGTTGTTCTGTCTTGCCCCCTTCCCCCTCTCACCCTCTTTGTGAATGATTCCTCACGTTCTGCTGGGATTTTGAGGGATAGATTATTGCTTGATTACACTCATCTCCAGCATCCTTAGGTTAGACATGAGATCAGTATCAGTAGGTGGATGGGATCAGTACACGAAGTACCTTAACCCCCACAAAGAGATCAAGTTCGCACTAATCCTCCTGTTCCTTCACAAGGGAGGAGTTCACATTGACATAAATTGTTATGAACTTGAGAAACATAAGTCCATTCATATTTTCATTTCAAAGTGTTTTGTTAGCCTAAGGTCTTCTTTCCTGTTCAGCACTCCCCCTTTTTTTTAACACAAATTTGAAGAATGTTAAGGCTGACTCATAATGAACAGCAAAACATAAAAGTTTTTTCATATGATGTAGGGGTTGGAGGGATAATAAGAGAGCTTTGTCTAACTCTGCTTTAAAAAAATCAACTACAAATTATTTTGGAATTTCTCTTCCATCTCAAATTCTCATCAATCAGAATGTGCAGTGATTTTTGTGTGAACACATCCAAAACAAGATGCTCTGAATAGACAAAGCAGTAGACTAGCGAGGCTACCCGTTGCACACAATCGGTCTTATCTCAATTACTGCTGCACATCAAGAAACAAAGAAACAGAATATATCATAATGGCCTCGAACATAGTCACCAAAAGGATCAAGGGAAGGGATAAAAAGTGTCGTGTGACAGATGGAGAAGGGAGGCCAGCAACAATTTCATTTTTTTTGTAATAACATGTACAAATAGGGGCTAAGTGGCGAGTTCCTGTCATTTTGTATGTAGAATTATTGCATTTGAGGGATTAAGGGTGGCTGACAGATGTGCATGACAGATGAAAAATGAGAATGTTCCCTTGCTAGTACCTGGAAATGGGTATTTGTGACATGATTGGTAATTAGATAACAATAAATGACAGTGAACATGATGATGATGATGATATAGTTTCTCACTTTTGCTGAGTTTGATGGGGATATCAGACTAATAAATCATAGTTTCCCCTGATCAATAACTTTTGTTCTGTTCATTGCTTGAATAGTTAAGTGCCAGTTCAATAAAAAAAGGGGGGAATTCAAAAGAGAATTGCATGTTTGTGTATGATGCACTTTTAATAGATATCATCCTGTATTTTCCACTTCTGTGAGTCTGAACAATTAGTTGATTGGTTGATTAATATTTTTTTACATCAAAATCCCATTCTTTTCCCTTTTTAAATCATATTTGTTATAATTGAAACTACTGGGTGATATGCAGTTGAGATGTATTGTTTATTACTCTAATGTAAGCGAAAGCAATCGAAAGGTGAATACCCATTATCCCCAGGCACTTGAACAACTTTGAATAAGGTGAAACAAATATTTTATATACAGATTTTAAGTCAAGTGGGTATAAAAGTGAAAGTGCTATTACCATTTTATTAGTAATAAAGGCATTTTGATAGGTCTCTGTTAACCATAGGTGGAAGTGAAAGGAGAGATATTGCTACTCCAGATGTTTAACTTTAGTTTTTATGGTAAATTGAGGGGATTGTTTATAAGAGGTGTGACAATGCAAATGATCAGGAAATGTCACTCATTTTTCTTTGGTGTTCTTTTTCTCTTTTTATTACAGAAGGAAATGACAACGAAACTGAAATCGAGGGCGAGCTTGGAAAACCTGAAGACTGTCCTTACTGTGATCGCTCATATAAGCGGCTCACCTCCCTGAAAGAGCATATCAAATACCGACACGAGAAGACATTCAACAACTTTTCTTGCCCAGAATGCAACTACTGCTTTGCCTACAAGTCCCAGCTCGAGCGTCATATGGCCACGCATATGCCAGGGCGCAACCAAATCTGCGACATCTGCAATAAGGCCTTTGTGAACATTTACAGACTGCAGCGTCACATGTTGACGCACACATCTGGGAATCGCAAGTTTAAGTGCGGGGAGTGTGGAAAGGCTTTCAAGTACAAGCATCATCTCAAGGAGCACTTGCGTATTCACAGCGGAGAGAAACCTTACGAATGTCCAACTTGCCTAAAACGCTTCTCGCATTCTGGATCCTACAGCTCTCACATAAGCAGCAAAAAGTGCTCACCTGTGAAGGAACAACCTCCAGCCCTCACCAGGATCACCGGTGTTCCTCCAGTCAAAGTAATCAATAGCCTTCCCTCGCCAGTTTTGCAATCTCCTCTTAGTGACATAGACACTAGTGAATCTCTACCTTTAACTGAGCCAAAGAAGAGTGCCCCAGCTTACATGACTCCTCTTCACATCAAGATTCCCAATGTTGACGGTTCCGTTCAGGGTCACCCGAGCAACGAAACACTGGAGAACGGAAGCACGTCTCCTTTAACAAGTCCTGCAAGTGATGCTGTGAAGAAGGTTCTACAAATTGTAGCATCTACTGTGTGCAAGCAACAGAAGGACGGGCAGAAAACAGACATCTCAAAACTAAAGAAAACAAAGACAACAAGTGACACAGCCCCAGTTGTCGCAAGTCCGTTTGAAATCAGACCATTCAAACTTGAAAAAATGGCAGCTGTTACTCCCTTGCCAAAGGCAACACCACCACCACCACCATCTGAAAAGACACCCGAAAAGACACCTGAAGAATCAGAAAAGTCCAAAACATTCTTAAATGGAAATGGTGTGCATCAAGAGAAGAAAAGTTATAACATTGTGGACTACACTCTAAAGAAAGTGCATGAAGCTCAAGCTATTAATCGCTGTTTGGAAACACGTTTTCCTTCTCAGATTAACCTAAATCCAGACAGAACAGGATGCAAGTATTGTGGACGAGAGTTCCATAGTCCCATCGATCTTCATCAGCACGAGCGTTATCTCTGCGACCTCAATGAGGATGTGCTCAAGATGAAGCTCTTTAATGGCAATCCACAGCCCCAGCAAAGCATTGGAAATTTCACATTAGATCGATATTACGAGATGCAGCAAGAGTTCTTAGCCCAACACAAAAACGAGAGTGATAACCATGACATAGATGACAAGAGTGATGAGGAGGATGAAAATCCAAAGCAGATGTTGACGTCACCAAGAGAGAGTGAACAGCACCTGTCTCCAAAAGCCAGCCCCAATTCAGGAAGTCAGCTACCCCCTAACAATGCTGAAAGCCCTGAACCAGAGGCTAACAAGACAACTGATATATCTAAGTTACTTGAGACCATTTCCAAGGCCCAAGAACAGGCCCTGCGTGCATTCTATGCCATGCAAGCTAAGCCCTCGGAGGACGGCATTGAAAAAATTTCAGTAGCACTCAATTTGCCTATGCAGCTAGTCAACAAGTGGTTCCAGCGCACACGTAAGCTCGAGGAGGAGGGGACGGATCCATCGCTTAAGAGCTTGAGCTTAATGAGGCAATCCCCAGTTGTGACAGTTGTTCCACCCACACGACGACGCATCAAAGAACACACAGGAGCTCAAGCTATCGATAGCAAGGAGACTTGTGTCAAATCCCCGGCGGAGAACTGCGATTTGGAAACGGCTTCAGTCAGCAGCAGCAGCGCTGAGAGAGTGGGTGATGCCGATAGCCTCCCTCCTTCCCCATGCAGCAGTATTAATTCCCTACCTAAAAGTTCCATCAGATACACCTTTCACAAAGAAAAAAGCATGGATGTCAGCCCAGCAGGTCGTGAGACTGAATCCAGAGTACGTGAGCGATTAGAGCCCATGGATAGAGATAGTCGATCCCCTGCGAGATCTCTGACACCAGCCAAGGAAACAAGAGACTCTTCTCCTCTCGATCTTTCTCTGCCAAAGAGGAAAGCAACACCTCCACCTTCTTTGAGCAGGTCTTCCATCCCACCCAAACTGGTTTACGGCTACAACTACTCTGCACTCTATTCTGCCGCTGCAGCCGCTGCTGCCAATGGATACCTTCTTCCTCCTGCATATGCGCCATCTGAGCCACTCCCTTCCAGCCTCTATGAGAACAGCATCAAAGCCCACAAGAGCAGGACTAGCCCAAGCCCTGGCAAGACGACCACACCCTCCTCCACAGCTACTACCAACACCTCATCAGCATCAGATGCGAGCATCCTCCTCAAACGTTCCTACCCCGAGCCCCTCTATGCTTACCTCCCCACCATGGGTGGCTATGCTGCCAAGAGGATGAGGTTTGCTGATGGAGTAGATTACCCTGTGGCTCCTCCACCGATGTATGGCTCTCATCTTCAGGTACCAGATGTCTACAGTGCCCTGGCTAAGACTGGTTTCATGCCCAGTACCATGGCTCATCTGGGCGCTGCGTATGGACCAACCAATCCTTTCTTGCCTGCAATGCTCAACGGGGGTGGTCTCCATCCAAACCATGGTAAGTTTATGGTTTTTTTGTTTTATGCATTTAAATTGAAACTAGAACTTGTCACTAAACTATCTTGATAACTCAATATCATTTACAATACATCAAAGAGTAATGTTTATTTAAACTTGTCGTCCAATAACTTTGTAGAGAATATAGTCATGGAAAATAGTAACTATTTGTTAACATGGGCATAATGCCATATTGCAACAAGAAATAAATCCATGTTAAGAATATAATTGAATTAACAAATTCATAATGCATAGAATAGGATTTGTATTAATTTATGCTGTGATAACAAATGCTGTTGATGAGGTGATAACTAATAAGTAATCATTTATTTTGTTATCAATTAACAGCAGGAGCTGACAATTTATCTGACATTGCATCGGAAGACTCGCTGAGCGACATCGGCATCGGACCTGGAAGACGGAGGAGATCGGACAAGCCATCCAGGACCTCCTCAGGACAGTACGCATGTTCGCAGTGCCCCAAGACCTTCCAGAAACACAGTTCATTGCTTCGACATGTCTACGAGCACTCAGGTACTTAACAAAGAAGTAAGCCATTTTCTAGAAATTGGAATATCATCTTCTTCATCACCATAACCCACTTTTCAAACAATTCAAGCATTGTCTTTCTAAAGCATAACAACTTCGGCTGTAAGAACATTGAAATAACCTTTTTTCACTCTTGAATGTAATTCTTCAAAAAAAAAAAACCTTCAGTTTTTAGTTCTTAAAGACTGCACACAATTTATCATCAAAAAGATGATTTTGTTGTTGTTGTTGTTGATTGAAGTAACAATATACAGTCATATTTTAATTTCATCATGAATTATTAAAATAAATTGATAAAACATAAAATGTGGAGAAAAAAAATTAAAATTAATTTACAAATAAGGGTAATACCCTCAAAAAGCCTCATTATGAGGACAAAGGGTTTGTTTGAAGAAAATGATGTTAGAAAAATGGTTTTAGACAATAGTCACGCAAAATGCTATTAGTGTTTTGGCAACAGACTTGCATTTTGCATGACTAATGCACAATTCATTGTTATCTCCCACGAGCGAAATCCTCTTTAAGCAGAGACTAATGATAGCAACAAACAACACAAAAATATGGTAAAGCACCATTGAGATACTATCTCCTCGTATCCAAAGCATTAAAATTATAAGCAGTGGGGGAAAGAGCAGATGTTATTCTATGTCACAATTGTAGGTTGCTTAGATCTGTAGGAAGTCAAAATGCAAGTCACTTTGAATGTACCTTGGGTGTAAAGCCTCGTTCAAGATCATGTCTTTTCCTAGCAGTAGCAATAGTCAAGGCTGTGATTTTGATAACACAGTCTGTGACCTTAACCTAACCATGCACTGTCGCTTTGTCATAGAGTAACAGATGGGGCACTTTTACAAGTTCAATTAAAGTGTCGCAAATGTCATTTTATTCTTTGAGATTAGGTTAATTTCCAAACATTAATCATACTTAAGAAAATCAGTAGTTATCAATAGCAAGGGAGAAACTTTAATTTGAGATATATATTGTTAGTTTTTTTTTCTTCAATCGTAACGACCTATCTTTCTTCTGAAATTTCAAAAACATTTAAAGACTGGTTAGGGATAAACCCACATATTTTTTTGAGATACTCCTAATATGGAACATAAATTCTTGTATGACTCATTTCCATTTGACTGAAATGAGATTTTCTCACCTTTCCCCTTTCCTGTTTATGAATATTAGTCCATTGTTACAGTTTTGTTCAAAGGCTTCAGAGTACTAATTTTAGTTTCGCATCTCATTTATTATTTTTTATAGGCAAGCGCCCTCACCAGTGCAAGGAATGTGGCAAAGCTTTCAAGCACAAGCATCACCTGATGGAGCACTCTCGCCTCCACTCCGGAGAGAAACCCTACCAGTGTGACCGATGCCTCAAGAAGTTCTCACACTCAGGCTCTTACAGTCAGCATATGAATCATCGCTACAGCTACTGCAGGCGTGACGCCATGGGCGCCGCCGGTGGACCTCACCTGGATGGTGCGGAGAAAGAGATGCTGGGCGATAGCAAGGAATCGATGATGATGGATCATCACCACCAGGGTGGCGGAGACGAGATGGAGATTGGATTGGAGAGTACAGGTGCTATGATTAGGAGGATGGAAGAGAAGCAGATCGCTGGGGTCTAAGATGAAACTCGAAAGGCAACGAAGAAGATGATTGATGATTGATAATGATCCGGAGAGATCCAAGTATTCTTTCAATTTAAAAGGATTCAGGGGTGTCATTCTAATAGTTTGTGGAATGTTTGAACTTGAAGGTACTTCAGATTGTATGTTATTGATTTATATTCATTAACATTTGTGTTATGGTGAAGTTGTCTGAAAACCTCATCGGAACTTGATGGAGTTGTGATAGTTATGCTTGTTTGCACCTGTTCCCAAATTGACATATTGGCGAGAAAAAAAACACACAAAATTCTGGCTATATGCCTCATTTCCCTTCAGGTAAAAAGCTGATGAAACGTTTTAAGACCTACCATGTGATGATGTGATTGGAGGGGTATTATTGTAAAAGTTGAAATATTTAAAGAAGAGTTAAATGCAATATGTGTATTTTCACTGAGACAGCCAAGGTGTCTAGTAAACTTGTGTGTTTTCATTATTTTGTCTTCGAAAAAATAAATAGAATAATTACAGTATCTATTTTGAAAGACGATAAAACATATTTTTTGATAAATGAAGAGAAGGAATAAGAAGTCAAACTTCTTGTGGAAAAGCATGTAATTTGAATAAATCTTTAACAATTGAAGTATTTGAACAAAACTTTAGGGATATATTTATAGATGAAAGGATAAGGAAAATAAAAGAATAATACGAGCTTGATTGTGAAGAGGGGGCAAGATGGAGTACATATGTGAAGTATATATATATGTTGACAATTTATGTACTACTCTTGCTTTGCTTCTACGTGATGTATATATGATCAGTACAATGATAGATAGATAGAGACTTGGATATTTTTGCAATTTGAGCAGTTATTTAAATAATGAGAAACGACTCGGTGATTCACAAATCCACCTTTCACATCTTCTTCCACACTTTCACCAATATCTGAATTATACAAACGAATCACCGAACTTTAATGGTCGTACTTGATGAGTACTGTAGTGTGTTTCTTTGAGAGGTTGCTATGAAAGTACATGGCATAGAAGTTTTTTTTTTTTAATGTCTACCAGTATTTTTTTTGTACTGAAAATAAGTTTGTCAGATAATCAAGGTGTAGGGTCCTATACCTACACCATCATTGTGCAATCTTCGAAATCTGACAGATAAATTGCTGTGGGCCCTAGCTGTTTTACCTACGCAAAATATATTCTCTTGGATGGGAATGGATATTACATGGACAACTGAAACGCATATTTCGATATTTTTTGTCTTCACAGTTTGAGTTGAATGATCATGTCTTCTTAAAAATGCCATTAAAGAATTTTTCTCTTAAATTCTAATTTCAATTTTATTTTATGATCCCTCTAAGAAACATAAATTGTTGTCTAGTTCACTTTTATCTGTCTTTTTTTTTCTCTTTCTCTCGCTCTCTCTCTCTCTCACTTTCTCTCTTTCTCCCCACCAATCTCCTCATCATCAGTATTTGTTAAGGATTAACAATTTAGAAATACATTTGTTTTGGTACCTTCCATGGAACACTTGGCTAGGGTGATCCCCCCCCCCCCCAGTCACATCTTTGTGACACATAGGACCTTGTGAGATTATTGTTAATTCGTAGTTCATGTTACTTTCAGTGTTTTGTCTTGTGTTGTTTTTGTTTCACTGTAAGAATAGTTCAGTATTTGGGTATATAGGTTGTAGATTTTGTTTCTATTTTCACAGGGGAAGAATCTTAAACAAAATACTTCATATCTTCCATGCATGACTATTTCTTATTTTTTGAATTATTTTCTGTGGTCCTTTTTCTGTAAATTCGTATTTCAAAGTTGCCACTGGGTATATTGGGTAATGATGTACATGAAGTTGTGTATAAACTTATTTATTCTTGTTGATGTGTAACTATTTATTCAAAAAACATGTAAGATATTTGTTCAAGAAACAAAAAAGAGTGGGCCTCTGATTTTCTTTTTTCTATAGGTGGTCCAGCCTATTTATGTATTGTAGCAATGTTGCTATTTTGAAACAAAATAAAGTCACGAAAATGTACCTTTATTCTCTTTGAATTTTTCTCATGTTATCTTGTATTCCAAGAAGTTTGAATTTAGGTATAGATGGTGTTTGTTGGAAAATAGTGATGAAGATAATGATGATGAATTGATGATGATAATGATGATGATAATGATGATGATAATGAAAATGATGATGATTATGGACAACGTTACTCTTCTTTTCATCCAAGATAAAGTTTCACGAGACCGTCCTATGTACAAGTTCACCGACATCCCATTACAACGCATGTTAAATTTGGGCGAACGTGTACTAACGACGGTCTTCTGAAACACTGTCCAACTAAATGGGCCGACAAGGGGAACAACAATTTATTTTAAGTAGATGGCGCAATTCATGAAATTCCCATCGCCACATTCACGTGAACCCGTGTAGGTTCATTTATACTGACATTTTATTCCTCGATCTTCCAAAATCATAAAGTGGCTAAATTCATACCAAAGTTCATACAATTATCAATTTTAATAAGCTAAATAAATTCAAGATTGTATAACAAACATTTCCATTCAATTGAATATATTTCAAGCTGAAATAAACATACCGTATTCATGCAGTTTAAGGTAATTATCAAGTTATAAACATCGAATGAGTGAAGGGGAGAGGGGGAAACTAGAAGGAGAGGAAGAAAAAAAGAGGGAAGAGAGAGAGAGAGAGAGAGAGAAAGAGAGAGAGAGGGAGAGAGAGAGAGAGAGAGAGGGGTGGAGTAACGAAATAGTGAGATTGAAGAGAAAGGGGAAGAGGTGAGGGATATTTTCATTTATTAAAAAACTGTGAATTGAAAGTGATACTGTCAAATCGTAACAAACCATATCATGAGAAAAAATAAGTTCTGTCTGAATTTATCATTCATCATCATTGATTGAAATATAATACTCATATGAAAGAAACAAAACCCTTCTCTTAGGACACACGTACGGAAAGATAAAGATTAAAGGTCATATAAATATATAGCAAGGTATCAAAGCGGATCGATTAGCATGATTTCTGTAGTTTTCTCTGACCCAACAGATTCCTTGTTGAAAGCCAAGAGAGTCAATGTTTCCATGTGAATTCTTTAGGGACCACGCACTGCAGTGGTTTGTCGGATTATATTGTCAGACTCATATGCCTCTCTCACGCCCCCCCCCCCCTATGACGTATCCAGACTTACATTGGCTGCAGGAGTGGTAGCTTTCAATATACGATCAAACGGTTATCCAGCAAGAAAACTTTGAATAATGGGCCACGGTTTAATGTTTCAAACAGTAGGATTTACCTATTTTATAATCATTTTCAAAGAAATTAAAGGTTACAGAAAAAATACGTATCCATAACATAGGCAGTACAAATTCAAGAGAGGAAACAAATCTATCCCTGATGCATTAACATCATAGTGCACAGTCAATAATGGAAATTACCATAAGGGAAATTACCCGTATTGCCACCTTCAAAAAAATCCCTCAAAACTTTCCTGAGTCCCCCGGTGATCTATATTATGATCTACTTCCTGTGAGACTTAACATTTTTTGCCTTCTTCTTATATACTTTGTATTTGTAATCGCTACATTACTTATTGTTTTTAGCGCTACTAAATATTCAATATTATTATTATCATTAATGATTCCTTAACCAAAAACAACCCCAGGATATTTCAAATTGTCTTTGATCAATACGGGTATTCAAAAGCACAAGGCTCTGTACGATTATATGCGGCAATGTTATAGTATTAATGACTGATTTGAGAGACATAGTTTGCTATAATGAATGATGAAACATGTATCGTAACTGACATCACGATCAGGTGATCACGATAACTTATACCGAGTGAGGCTATGTTTGAAATTCATATACGGTAAGTAGGTAACTTAGTAAGGCACCCCTCCCCCCCCCCCCCCCCCGTTCATGAAGCTCTAGCCGTTTTTCTTCAACCATAACGTGTACAATGCATCCACAACAAGATGTTTTTTATTTTGTTTTGTTTTTTGTTTTGACTGAAAGTGGTGATTGTAAGCCTTTAACAATGGGAATAAACTTGTTTTATGTTTCCATACTCACGAAATAAACACATAAAATAGGCCTGATAAAAGACTGTTCGAGCCTACATCATATCATTTTTATATCATATTATGAGATGAGTTATGGAACATAGCCCGTCGAGGAAAATTTTGGACAGCGTTCTCTTAATTCATAGCTATGGAATCTTTTAGTAGAGTATTCAAATTGGACAGAGCCGGGCCAATGCCCCCACCCCAACCCCCACCCACGATAATACCCGCACCAATATAATAATGTCGATACGTCACAATAATAAGTTTTAGGCAATTTAATCAAGTAGCAATTCCCTTAGTACTTTTTAAATGATTTTTTAAAATTGGTGTTAGCAAACAGTTCGCAGCTCCGGCCATGTTTTTTCACTTTTTAGTTTTATGGGCGAGAAAGTGAAAAACACTGACTCAACGTGAGAGTAGAGATGATAACCTAACAACAACAACAACAATAATACTACTAATAATTATAATAATAAGGATAATAATTATAATAATAATGATAATAATTATAATAATAATGATAATAATTATAATAATAATGATAATAATTATAATAATAATGATAATAACAATAATAATAATACTTTTAAGGAGTAGAAAAAGAAGAGGAAGAGGAAGAGGAAGAAAAAGAAGAAGAAAAGAAGTAGAAGGAGAAGATGATGAAGAAGAATATTTAACACAAATAAAATAAATTATTATTATAATAGAATTTCAGAGGTACAAAAAACACAAAGATCAAATCATTTTTTGCAAACAAACTACAAGGAAACAAATTGCAAATTCCCTTATTGCAAGTAGTTAGGAATAGAATTCGTCATAGTTAGAGAGTTAAAAACAAAAGAAAGAATTTGGTTCAACGTGATGTCATTAAACTTTCATAGAATGGTAACAATTCTTTAGAACATTTGGCGCGTGCTCATCGCTCAAGTCTTACAAAGGCACACCTGACAGATACGATACCAATCTGTCATAAGACTGTACACTGTCTCGCAGGGGAGGATCGCTATTCCGGGTATGAAAGTTTTGTTTATGTTTTCATTTGAACCATGTTTGGATAAGAACATGTACTGGATATCAAAATGAACAATCATAGGCAATCATATGATATTTTGCACACTCGATATTTTGTATTAGCTAGTAGACAAACAAAAGAAATGTGCATTGACAAGTGTTCAGTGGAGTCCCATATGTAAGGTTTTGTGCTGGTTGCTGAGTGAGTACTGAGTGTAGGTTCGAGTTTACTTTTTGAAATTTTGACTCTTACAGTCTTACTGTTGTTGTGTACTTGTGTTATGTCTTTTATGTTATGTATAAAACTACTGTTTTTATCAATCACTCATGATTTAAGTGGCTATTTGAGCAATGTTGATAGTTTTGTACACACCGACACTGAAAAGAAGTTCCATACCAATTTACGGTTAGGACGTCTGGTTGGGGCGCTGGTCCGAGCGCGTAGAACTTTAGCTTACATTTAGCACATGCGCAAATCGTTCATTCGATCTTGGCAAATCGCAGCCTCATTTTACCAAATTGGCGCCGACAAGGGCCCTTCTTATTGGCTATCGCTAGGTTCCATTCCCTCAATGCTATAAAAAATATAAGATATTTGTGCAACGAACAAGCTTGCGATTTTCCGTTCTTTTGATACCAAAATGTTGCAGGAGTGCACCGAATTGAGGAGCAGCAAAATTGACTCTTTATTAACACAGCACAGACACACTTAAAACTGTTTCATTTAATAGTTGTTCCTTTTTAAGTCATACAGCACCAAATTCCCCCACACATCGAAGCATTTCTATAGTCTACTTGTACATGTTGTCTTTTATGAAAAGATTTAAGACACCCTGTATTGATTCTCAAAACTTTCAAACACCACTGTACAAAAGTCACCAGAATCCACAAATATCTGCACTTGACAGTCGATGACACCTGAATTTCAGTCAATACAATCAGTTCAACTCATCGATGTTAGAAAAATACTTTGAAAAAGAGAAAATCAGGAATATACCATCATCCTGTTGATTTGATAATTATGAACATTTCTTGTTTAGCACGCTCCCCTCGCAAGTGCTCAAATCTTCCAGGCAACTTGACTTAAAAGAAATTGGCCACCACAAAAATCACTCTCTATCAAGAACATGAATACAAGTCTTTATTTTTCATGTGAAAAATATTGACTAGGTTTTTGTGGCAAATTTTTATTGCCAAGTTAATTGCTGAGAGAACCAAGACTTTTAATGGAAAAAATAACACACAATTGCAAGAATTATGAGTACCGGTAGGGATTTCTTCATTGTTGGACCTTGAAATATGAAACCTCCATTTAAGGTCAGAGAGTAATTTTTTAGAGTTGATGTTTGATTTGTTATCAAGTATTTGGCATTTTATTTCATTTACCCCCTTTTCAGTTGGTACATGCAATGGACCTAAACATTGTCTTAATGCAATGCGAGGCACTAGTGGTCAGTATGCATTTTGCACACTAGTCTTAGCTTGTGTGAATTCGCTACACAGTCCCACATACATGTAGGTTTGGTCCTATGACTGATAGACACAGGGTGCGGAAATGGGGAAGCTTGGCGGAAATCATCAAAATCGATGGATAGCACCAACAAACCCAACAACAACAAGCTAAATCCAAGGGGCCAAGCGCCCAAACCTCTATGAGAATGTGATATGTACCGTGAATCTCTGTGTATAAGGCGCACTTTTTTGCTGCCTAAAAACAATTGAAAGTCGGGCACACAAAAAAAAAAAAAATTATGCCCGGAGTTATGCCTGGCAGTGTCTCCCAGCTCAGTAATCTGTGTGTTGACTCACCACTCAGAAACTACAACAACACTCAAATTTGTCTGTCATCTTGGTTTGAGAGTAATCTTTCTAATAGATCTCAATATGTAGTTTATAATAATAATTCATGGTGTACCACAAGGTTCTATCCTAGGTACTCTACTGTTT